CGGGTCGTCCTGTTGGAATGTGTTTTCTTCTCTTTTGAACGCGTGCCTCCTCTAATGGAACTTGGAAAAAGCCATTTGGGCTATTTTGTCTCTCAAAATATGCTCCCTGGTCTGTTTTCATCCCAGTTTTTGTGCACCTGAGAAGGATTTTGGTGTTTTTTAACACTGCACAATAGACCTAGTTTCGCCTCTCTGTCTTTGGCCTCTCAGCTTCATCAAGTTTGGAGGTTTCTAAGACGAAAAGTCGTCGTAGTTTTGTCGTCCAGTAAAAGAGAAAATGCTCGGTTTTGATCAGGAAACTTTGGTAGTTGCAAGTTTTAACTTTAGGCACCAGGAGCTTTCCTTTTTTCTCTGTTTTCATTATGGATTTATACAAATTAGGATGGAAATCATAGCATATTGTCAGCATATTGTTGCAGCTTCTCAGTTATTCAGGCATGAATAACTATAATTTTTTGAGAAAAAAAAGCCTTTTTGGATTAGAGGTGAAATATTTGCAAAAACCGAGACATTTGTTGTCTTTTGTGGTGTTTGGATGATCATGTTAATGGAGCAAATCTCTGTTAAGAAATGCTCAGTGCCTGGTTGAAACAGAGGTTTTAAAATCTGAATTTTTTGACTTTGTGAAAGGTTCAGATTTGCATGTTTTATGACTGAAAGGAGCCGGATTTTCCCGTTTTTAAGGTGGAGCTGTAAGCCGAGTTAAGGCGATTGTCCTTACAGTTTATTTACTTTGTGAATGTCGGGCTTTCCTCCCTCCAGTTAATCTGTTTTCTCGCTGATATTTTGCTCCTGTTGATGCATTATTCTGGTTTGGTAATTCTGTGTACACACTTCCCCTTGGCGATTCATTCCTAATTTTGATAATGTCTGTTGTGGCTTTTGCAGCCCAGCCAGCTCTCACAGCCACGGTTGTTTTTCACTCGTTGAATAAATTGTGATTTAAACTGAACTGTCATTTGTTATATGCTGATTTCTAAATGCCTTAAGGGGGCCATTTTAGGGTGGCTACTCCAAACGAGCACAGGCTGGAAATATTTGGTGTTTGTACAGATACTAAAAATTAGAATACACCCAAATAAAGGTGGAAGTCTTGAATAAACACTGGGCCCTTGCGCCACACTCCAGGAGCACAACTTCTGCGTCTTTAGCTT